GCGCAGAGAGGCGCAGGCGCAGAGAGGCGCAGGCGCAGAGAGGCGCAGGCGCAGGCTGAAGAGCAGTGGAACCTGACATTGGGGCCCCCCAACGATGGTGTCAGTATCGGCTAAAGCTGCCGTGAAGTTTACAAGCACCTTTTTCACCCAGAACGTCCGTCAACTTTCCTGCTCACTCGTAACACGACAAATATCAATGGACAACAAATAATTGTCAGATATTTGAGAGAAATCTTTAACATAAGAGAGATAATAAACAGGAAAATAAAAGGAACTCAGAGAAGATAAGAGACCATGTAGGTTGCGTAAGAAAACTTCAAATAAACTTTAATCATTCACTCAGGGTGATAAAAAAACACACACAAAACATTACATACAGGCGATAAGAAAAGGAGACTACTGTAAAGAACGTTCTGAAAAAAGCTCTTGGAACTTCAAAATACGATAGCAGAAATGAAAACTCTCAGAAGGTAAAGTTGAAAAATACTTATGAAAAATAGGGTAAAAGCATGGAAAGATTAAAAAAATATATAGAGTATTATTTGAGGAGGTCCAGAGGGACGGAGAGGGGAGGGGAGGGGGGGAAAAAAGCAGATGATCAAATGAATACAATAAAACTTCTCAGGACTGAAGAAGATGTGCTTTCAGGTTGAAAGGCGCAATGAGTGCCAAGCATGTTGAATGAAAATAGAACCACAGACTGATACAAAAACAGGTCATGAAATGAAAGAACCCCCCAGAAAGAAAGTGAAGACCCTGAAACCTTCCAGACAGAGAAAACGAACACCATGCACAGGGAATAAGGAATCTGGAATTGCATCAGAGTTCTGGTGGGGATTTTGAAACATGCCCACAATTCCTTTGATGCTTGGCAGCTCTGTCCTCCTGTGGGAGTTGGGCAGGACCTGTGGGCAGTCTTGAAGAGAACTGCAGCAGAAGCGACACTGTGGGGCCCCCAGGCTAAATGAGAAAAGGTCACGTGCTTTGCACTTTCTCTTGAGAATCTCATTTCAGTCATTGTGCAAAAGGTCTGGCTACCCTGAGGAGCAGCCTGGGTGTGCCACTTCAACCCTCAGATTTATACCTTGATGAGGTGCAAGGGGGCTCCATGTCCAGGAAGAGGAAATGAGTTTGTGATATCTAGTCAGTGTCTACTATATACAACAATGGATCCATGCATATACAGGAACTTGGTATGTAATAGTTGTGGCAGCATAAATAAGTTTGAAAAGAAGAGTTGTTCAGTATTAGTAAATCTGATTCACCATGTTGAGAAAAATTACAGATCCTTACCTCACGCCATATACAATAATAAACAACTAGATCAGTGGTTCTCAACTGGGAGTGAATTTGTCCCCCTGATTATACTTGGCAATGTATGGAGACATTTTTATTATCAAAACTCGTGGGGTGCTACTGGACTTAGGGATGCTGCTGAACACCCTACAATGCACAGGACAGCCCCCACAACAAATGATTATACAGTCCCAAATGCCTGTAGTGTCGAGGCTGAGAAAACCTTCAGTAGGGTTCACTACGTACATGTGAAAGAGAAAAATACAATACTAACAGAAAAAAAAAAGTAAGAGATTTCTTTATGACCTTGGGTTGGGGAGGAATTTCTTAAAACACGGTCCCCACATGAATAAACTTGACTACACACCCAAACTAAGGATTTCTCTTGTACAATGATGGTTATTGCTTATCAGGCGATCAGACAGATAGTCAACTCGAAGGAAATATTTGCAACATCTGATGAGGGGGGAGGACCTGCGGTTTATAATATTGGAGCTGGTGTTCCCACTAATCGTTCAGAATCCTCCCCAAAGTCACAAAGACCATGAAAAACCAAAACACACACACTCCATCTCTCATAAAGCAGGAGACATCTGATGTGGTTACAGTCATGAGCTTCTATGCACCCCAACCCCCACATTTATAAAGCAAAAGCTAATGGGAAGACAAGGATTTTGGCAGCTGGAAACAACAGACTTCAAACTCTACAATAAGAAAAGAGAGAAGGCACCATCCTTTTAATTGCTCCTGGACACTTACTATAATCACCATCTATTATGCCGCCGAGAAAGTTTTAGAACATTCCAGAGGGAGAGAAATAGTCCAGACAATAGTCTCTCATTATAAGACTATAAAACAAACAAACAAAAAACAAAACCAGGAAACAAAAAGACCCTAATGTCCATAGTTATAATATTATAAGTGTATTTATAAATCTCTCTTAAACTGACTCACGTCAAAGAAGAAATCAAAACCCAAATGGCAGAACTTCTAGCAAATTGTGTTAAAGAAGCACCATACCGGGAGCAACGGTCTGCTTGTCTCTAGTTTTGTAATTACTCTTGCTATCAGACAGGGCAGGTTCCTCCCCACCTCCCACCCTGTATTTCAAAATTGGCTTGGCCCTCTGTTTTTATATCTGTATTTTAGTATCAGTTTTCCCAGTTCCATGAATAGCCTTGATGGGATTTTGATTGGGATCTGCAGTGAGTTTAGAGATTAATTTGGAGAGATGTGACATCTTTATGATATTAAGTCACCCCACCTGGAAAGGTGCCCTGAGCAGCTGAGGTGCTGCCTGGAGGCAAAGGAGGAAGGAAGTCATAAATACTGGCTATGGCATCAGGAGCTGTAACAGCAACGGAATTCCCTCCAAATGTCCTTTGTGGCTCTGCGTTTTATATATTGGAAGGAAATTGTCTTTGTAAGATGCACAGTGGTCATGGGAGGAAGGTCATGTGACAGAAGATAAACAGCTCAACCTGTTTCTAATAATAAACATTCAAAAGGTTTCTTCTTCTTCTTCTTGTTCTTCTTGTTCTTGTTCTTGTTCTTCTTCTTCTTCTTATTATTATTATTATTATTATTGCTGATTTACTAGCTAGGGCCTGGCATTTCTAAAAACTGAATTCTTGAG